GGGTAAAAAACTAGTAGAAAATAAATTTGTAATTTACTTTTTCAAATTAAAATTTTGATTAATCCTTCTATAACACGTTTGTGGAGACAGAATGTATAGATACAACCTCAAATGATTTAAATGGATGGTCTTTTTTTTTTCTATCCAATAATACTTCATCAACATAAACATTAACCAATAAAATAATAATTGGCCACATATTATTACCTAGGTATATACAACCTTGAATCAAATCATACAGTACCTAAGTTCACTTTAATGTATAAATCATTAGAATAATAAAGAATAAAAATTTTATAGACAACAGATATGATTTTATTTTTTTCCTAATTACGATGTAAAAATACTTTTTAATAAAAGTAACAGGCTTCATAATATATATCTATTTGATTATTTTTATTCCTTTAGTTTAAATTTATTTGTTTATAAATATATACAATATTATATTGTACTCATATCGGCATTTTCTATTAATAATTATTATTTAAACAACAAAAGATCATTTATTCTACTACGTGCCAATATTTTGTTTTATTAATATTGTAAAAGATTAAATTCAACACGTTTTGAATGGAAAGAAATCTGACATAAATTGAGAGTAAGAATCAACAAGATAAATACAAAAATGCACTAATCATGGTATAAAAAAAAAGAGTGCTATTATAAAATTCATAAATACAGAATTTGATCTTTAAGGGAAATCTGATTTGCATGTTTCTATATACATATAAATAAATATCATATTTGAACTTTTAAATTTTCATTTTTTCACATATATTTATGTAATATATACAACTTAAATAATCATTTAAAAGTAACAATATATTGTAAAGATTTCATTTCAAAGTTAAACAAAGAAATGAATCAAATCGGTCATAAAACAAAACTAAAATAACAAAATATATAAATAAAAAATTCACTAATCATGGTAACAAGTTTTTAAAAGTACCACAATATTCCGTTCACTATTTCACTAATCATGTATCCGATTACATTCAAAGTTATTCAAAGAATGAAGTGAAATATATCTATATAAAATAAGAACAAGATTAAATTATTTTTCGAAAGAATTTCCAGCCAAAATCATTAATTAGATACTAAAAAGGGTAAGTTATATATATTTTTTTTAATTTTTTCAAATAAAAAAAACATTAAATGCACTGCCATAATCTCGATTGTTCTTTGTCATACTCAGTTTTTGTTGTAAAAAAAATATTTTTGAATTTTGTGTTGTGAACATTTTAAATCTAATTAAAATTAATTATTTTAGAGTAATGATTTTGTTGAGTGCATTTTTTTCTTCATAAAAGATTTCTAAAACCACCAGTTAATAAAATGAAATCTCATTCTAATTATGCACAATACATATATTTTCCAAATAATTTTGCATGGAAAAACGATGAGACTATTAATAATGTATGACTTTTTTCTTGACGAATATTTTATGATTAGTTGAATCCTCTAAATATCATAACTTATATTAATAGTCTTCTATTTATAAATTTTACCAAAATAAATACAGTCTGTGCATCGCACGTGGTACATACTATCTATGTATATATATAGTAACCATTTCCCCCCAAAAAAAAAATATTGTTTGCTAATTTTGGAAACTATTCAAACATTTTATGGTATGTTTTAAAGATACAATTTAGGTAATTGCAGCTGATTTATTAAGGTAAAATCACATAAAACTTTCTTTTGTATCTCAAGATATTCATATCATATATATGTACATATATATCTTATATTTGTACCTAAAATATCGAGATCTATCACATCCTAACAAACATTAGATTTACTTATATATTTTTAAATTAATCACATCAATAAATAATATTAATATACATTAAATATATCATTATATAAAAAAGAAATATTACTTCTACAAAAGTTATAAATAATATTGACATTATACGGCAATAATTTTTTGAATAATATAATATTTGAGTATTATAATGAACCAAAATATGTAAAATATCATAGTTTTTAAACTCGGCCCGATAATCGACTCGGGCAGATTTCCGAGTCACCGTTTCAACCGCCGGATCAATGGGTCAATTGTTGAACCAGATAATTAATTTTAAAATTTTTAAAATTATATATAGAGTATTTTTTTGTCATATAAATGTACATAAAAGTAACAACATTAAATATTTTGTGTATAAAATTTGTACATTAAAGTGTTAATAATATGTATCTCATGATAAATATTTACTATATAAACATACATACATAGTTTTATTTTTAAAAACAAAAAAATAATATGGGCAGGGTCAACAGACTTGACCCGGGCGGGTCAATGGCCCGTGTCGGTTGGGTCAATGCCGGGTTGGTCGGGTTTTGATCGGGTCATTTGTTGTCCGGTCCAAATAGTCCACCCAGACTAGTTCCGACTCTGGGTCGAGCGGGTTCCGGGTCGAAAAAATTATGAAAAATATTATTAGTATTAAAGAATAAATATATATGTTAAAATATTATTTATATTAATATAGACGGATCAACAGACTAATACATTGTTAAAATAAAATTTTGCAAGAATATTTTACATTACGAAATCCCCGTGCATCGCACAGGATTCTCACTAGTTTTTTTATAGAACATCTTTGTATTTTAATTTTTAAACAATATTTTAACTTTATGCATTTCTTTCGGATGAATGAATATATGTTCTCAATTTATTTCTATACATACATCAAATAAAAATAGTCACTAATTTGATGTAGTTAATATATATAAATAATAATTAGAATAAAAGTTTTGATTATTTTTAGATTTTTGACGAGTATTAATTCATTTCTTAAAAAAAAAAACAAACTTGTGACAATAGGCATTGGGTTCGTGGCATTAGGTATTTGATTCTTGTGACAAAGATGTATGTGGCTATATAACTAAATTATATGTTACAAATGATACTATGTTCAAGTGACACTACTCACTTGTGGTTATAGGACTACATCTTATGTGGCTAACATTTAATTTTAGCGACAGCAATAATATGTGACAACAATAAAAAATTGTAAGTGACTACAAGACATATTATTATGACAATAATATTTGTAACTAAATGGTTCAGATGTAGTGGCAAACTAATTCGTCAATATATTATCGATCTATAGTTACGGCCAATGTATGTAATAAAAAATTGGTTTTAGTGACGATACTTAATGTGACTAAAAATTGATATCTAGTGAATAGTGATGATTATGGTAGTCATCGCTAAAACCTTTAGTCACGGTATATATAGCCACGACCTAGCAACGACTTGTATGGTTGACACAAAATGATATTGTGACAATATTCGAA